CACACACACACACACACACACACTCCTGAAAGACGCTAGGGGCCCAGGGGCCTGCAGTTGGGGAGGTAGACACAGGGGAGTAAGAAGTCATGACAAACCTGTGAACAGAGAGGGGCAGGAGGCACCCGAAGCCTTTCTTGGTGTCCCCACGTGGATGTAACAACGTGTCCCCTATACTACCTGTGCCACATGGTTCATATAGCACCTGAGCCACGTCCCCCTCCCTGCCAGGCTAAGAACTTCTGTAAGCCCAGTGCCTTGTCCCTACCTAGCCAGGAGCAGGGTTACATGTTGGCTGGAGGAAGAATTGGAGAAAAACCACAGGCTTGGGAGCCAGGCTGCTGGGTTTAAAGCATGCCCTGCTGAGTGTCCTAGGGCAAGGGACTTAACCTCTCCTGGCCTCAGCTTCTTATCCGTAAGGGTGATAACAGCGTCTCTTCCATAGGGTTGACATGAGGACTGAATGAGCTACCACGTGTATGTATGTAAACGCCCACATAGGACAGTGTGCACGGTGCATGCACAATGCGTGCTCCATCAATGCTTGCTTTAAAGCCAGGACGCTAACTCTGGCAGATCGGGGGAGGGGACAGTGCCTCCCGTTTTCAGTGCTCACATCAGGAGGAGCGGTCTCACCTTGTGGTGTTCACACCCCCGTGTGGTGTGGCTGCTCGCTCTGCAGACGCCACGCGTGGTCTACTAGTTCCTCCTCTCACTTCTTATTCTGGTACCACTGACGACAGCGACTTTGGCTGGACTGCCCCACATCTCCTCCTGGCAGCCACAAGTAACAGCCCTGGGGTGGTCCCTAAAACAGGCTCAGAGCATGGCCAACTATCCCTCCCAGCAGCCACTCAGCTGAGTCCCCGCACCCCCGGCCAGGCCCCAGCTCTCTACCTTCCAGCGCCCCCGCCCCCGCCCCACCAGACACCCCTGGGAGGCAGCCCCATCCTCTCAGGGCTGGGAGCTTCTGCTCTGCCAATTCAAGGCTCTCTTCCCCTCTGAATTTCACCTCTCCCCTACACAGCGCCACAGCGTCTTCCCCAGTTTCAAGTCTTCTAGTCCCCTGATCTCCTTGAATCGCCTCCGGGGTCCCCCATCCCATCACAAGGACCCCTTACTGTCTCCCTACCCATGCCCACATTTCAAATCTCAGACACCTTTCCCCTCACAGGCCCCCTGCAGATGGCTAGGAGAACCCCTGGCCACTCCCCAGGGCTTCCTGCCTCTATCTCCTATCCTCTCCACAGCAAGGTTTCCCCCACAGGGAACCCTAGTCCCCCAGTCTCCCAGATCGGGCCCGGAACGCTCTCGGGGAGAGGGCGGGGAACTTGGAGGGCGGGGCTCGGGACCCCGCGGCTCCCG